CGGAGGATGAGATCATGGCGAGAGGGCGACGTATTAGCCTCTCACTACCACCTTTGCGGATGACTATCCGCAATCGCTAATCGCGGCGGTAGATCGATACGGATAAAAATGCGCAAGACGCCGAAGCCGACGGCCGGAAGAGATTTGTTGCTGCGCGATGTGTCCCGCCGAATTATATAATTTAATCATTTCGGTTCATTATCGCTTCATCGTGATTATACGTTGCGCAACAGGCTCATTGTACGCGTTTGAAATTTCACAAAACGCTGTACAGGATTCTAGATCTCGTGATTCTTCATTCACGGAATTCATGTTTCGATCGCGCGTTTTCGATAGTCAAGTCGATTAAACGACAAATATGTGCGTTTTAATTTTACATACGACTGCTTTCAATTTTGTATTAAATTGTAATAAAATAATCCGGCATTGCTTTCATCCGATACAGAAAAGATGGCTATCGCCGCCTCGGAGAACTATCAGCTCAAGTGGCACAGCTACGGGGCACACCTGCACAGCTCCGTCGCGACCCTGCTCCACTCGGAATCCTTCGCGGACGTTCTGCTGGCCACATCCTGTGGGCGACACGTGGCAGCCCATCGGTTCGTCCTTGCGGCCTGCTCGTCGTACCTCAGTCACATCTTTCAAACGTGCCACTTCGGCGCGAACTCCAACGCTCCGACAATTGTGGTCGGTAACCAAGTCCCTACTGCGTTTACTTTTCTTTTCAAATGCTTATTGTATCGAATTAATCGATTTAAAATAGCGTAATATAAAGAACATATGGATAATCGTCGTTTCATGCTTCAGGTGTTGCCTACCGAGATCGGATATCGTACGCTAAAAATCCTGATACAGTACATGTACAGCGGCGAAGCCACCGTTACGAACGACCAACTGGAGGGAGTTCTAAAGGCCGGTGATATCCTGCGTGTGCGTGGATTATGGAGATCGAATACTGGCAGCAGCAAGAAAGAGAACATACAGTCGAACAATCAGAAAATCGAACGCGACAAGCGGGAAACGTCGCAACTGGCCGGGCAAATACAGAAAATCAAATTGGTGCAACCTACCACGGAGAAGATAATTGAGAATGTGCAACAGGCGGCCACGGCTTGTCAAAATAACGTACAGCCCGCTAAGCCGATCGAGAGGAAGAGTACCGAGAAGATCGAAGAGAAAGCCAACGAATCTGAGAGCAAGAAAGTCTTGGAGGAGAAAAATAACGAACAGAACAAGAACAAGGAGAATCTTGAGACAAACGGGAAGAAAAAGAAAGCCGTTAACAGTGACGTTGAATCGAACAAATCGAAGAGCGAAGGTGGCGAAAACGTGAGCTAGTTTAACTTTTTTTAAGTTTCGCAATAATGCAGTAAAAGAAGCATTTGTTCAGCAATATATAAAATTATTAACATTCTTTTTTTTTTAGACCGAACTAAATCTGGAGCTATTAGTGAAGGACGAGCCGATCGATTGGGAGGAGACGATCGATCCGTCGGAATCGCTTACGATAGACCATGAGATCGATATCAAACCGGTGCGTAAAATAAAAGTTACTACAGATAATCGGTACTCGTTTCTCACGATACAACGAAGAAACAATAATGTTTTTCCTATTCTCCTCGCAGGAGATCGTACATAGCGCGGACGAGGATGGAGATATGGAGGAGGAGGAATATACACCATTGACATGCGACATGTGCAGTCAAACGTTTAACAGACCGTCGGATTGGGTGAGACATATAGAATTCACGCATGCTGACATGACGGAAAATCGGAGAAAGAAACGAAAGGTACTGTGTCGTGAATTTCTTACGTCATATATTATGTACGTGCATGCGGTAAGATGTAAAATGAGGAAAACACGGTGATTTTAGGATGACATAAACGATGACAGCAAAGACTTCCCGCCTCTCAAGTGCGATCTATGCGGCAACATGTATTCCACGCCGCAGGAATGGGTGCGTCACATACAAACGGAACACACGGAGGAGCAGTTGGCCTTGATGAACAACTCGGCGCCCCCGAAACCGAAAAGGGTTCACAATCACCAAAAGTTATGCAACATATGTCAAAAGGAATTCCCGAGTCACGCCTCGATGGTCATCCATCAGAGAACGCATACGGGCGAGAAGCCATTCCTTTGCTCCTACTGTAAAAAGGGCTTCAACGTAAAGAGCAATCTGCTGAGGCATTTAAGGACACTGCATGATAAATACGTACATCCTAGCTTATATGGGAGTAACGGCAGCACGAACGCTTAAAGACCCTACACACACACACACATACACACACACACACACGGACACACACATACACATTTGTTTTGCATGGCGTCTCAGTCGTGGAGTAACTATACATATACACACAGTATCTTATGTATATTCAATATTATGACTATGTAGACTGAATGCGTAAAACGTATAAAATGCCAAATCAGAGCACATGACGATGAACATAACCGACTCAAGATCTGTGTGAATCTCCACCGAGAGAAAGCATAACTGAGCGCATTTTAAAAATTCACAATGCATATTGGAGAGAAATCTATATAAACTATTTTTTCTAAAGGATAGTTATCGCATTCTTTATACGATAATCTTCTTTTTAATAATGTGTAAAATATAGCTCCTCTCTCGTTAAATAATTTTTAATTGAGTTGAAATGAAAAAGCAATATCAGGGTCTTAATACCAAAGAGGCTGATTAATATTGCCAAATGTCTCATTTGAATATTTTAAACTTTCTTTTCTTCCCCGTAGTGCACATATAAAAAAAACATTATTTTAAAAGAATTTTATTTAGGAACGAAGAGGACAAATGCTGAATGACTTTACTATTTATAGAGATCTGTCGAGGAATGCTTGTGTGTAAAATAATCCTATAATATAAATCAATATTTAACGATTAATTATTAACTTAATTATTTAGAGTAATTATATGATAAATCCAAATTATGTAAGATTTAACTGTATACTACTTCTAGGCTATTCCATCCATGATAGCCCTCTTATTCCCTGAGCTCGTAAGCTAATTATGTATTTTTATATTAAAGTAGCGTATACACACAAATGTATAAGAAATAAGATACTTACATTAAGTAAAACTTGAAATTTCGATCTAGGCTAGGTATATAAGAGTAATATATAACATTCAAAAATTTATCAAATTTTTTGAAAATATATTGAGTTCTTCTTACATATTAAAAAAAGAACAATGCGATATTATCAAAATACTGTCACAGTCTCTGGAACATAAATAATGTGAATATTGATTAAGAGGATGACACCATTTTGCTATACTAATCATCGTGTCACTCTACTATAAATTTTAGTGTCAATTCTGCATTACGCTAGCACTGTGACGAGCCAAATAACTTTTAAATGTAAAATTAAAATAATATATTACCTTAAAAGTACCTCTAACTTTGCCTTACTTGTACCTCGAATGAACGGATATTTAATTTTTTTCGATTAGTAGAATACATGTATGGTATCACCTCTTCGAAATTTTGTCAAACCGATTGAACATTTTCTATTAAAATAAATATGACGATATCTAACGCATAATGGGACAGATGTTCCAAAACAGTGATGTAATATAATATCATCAATTACAATTCAGCGTATATGAGTTCTATTTTTGTCGATGCTTTAGTTTTCTTCCTCGTCGTCGATCTTGGGTGCCAGGTAATACCTGATGTGTCCAATATCGCCGATCTTATATTCACATACTAAAGGTACATCGTCGGACATAGACAGTTGAACTTGATTGCAAAGAGGGCCAGCTTTCACGAAACAATTCAGATAACGACAAGAAAACGTTAGCTTTACTGGTTCTTGCATGTTAACTATTACCGCTTCCTCTTCCTTATCCGCATCCGCAGTCTGTGCTAATTTGATATTGGCTATAAAAGAAATAGAAGCAACATGTAAGTCATTCGTATGACATGTACATAATACAGTATCCCAAAAGAAATTACCCACTTTTTATTTTAAATAAATTTTAAATATTCTGCATATTTATAAACAATAATTTTAATTTTTGATTAAATCTGTGTACAAATGTATGCTTGTTGTATACAAATTTATTTGATACTTAAATATCTTCTGATGGTAAGTATACCTCGCGAAATGTAAACAAGAGTATAACATAACATGACCTCTGCTTAAAAGACTAGAAAAATAAACATTTTAAATATATTTTCAGTTTGCACGCTTCTAACTCTATTCTTACAGTTAGTTTCTATCCGTCGCTAATATAAAATAGAAAATCTCTCAGTGTTGAAGAAAATATTAATCATGGAGTTTTCATTTTATTTTAATAATGTAAGTAAAAAAAACAATTATATATTATTATTTTAAGAAGTCGTGTGTGTGTGTGTGTGTGTGTATATATATATATATATGGTAAATTTACCTGAACCATAATCGCCAGACGCACTGAATTTTATACCTTCCTTAGTACAAGCAAAAGTTATAGATTCTCCAAATTGACTCAGATCTCTGCATATGCGGGTAAATTCCGCAGATGGCATTTTTACGACGCACGAGTATGAAGTCTCCTATAAAACAATAACATAACATTACATAATAAGAATAAAATTTCATATTGACTTATTTTTAAAAGTGAGCCTCTCACAGGTATGCCCAAATGTTCCTGATCCATATTGATCAGCTTCATCTCGTATTCGGCCAACTTTTCCTTGTTTGGTGACTCGAATATAAAAACGATAGACTCGGGATTGTCCCATGCTCTGAGTGTCACCGTGTCTTCTGCACCAGCACATCGTAGAATCTTTGACATACTAAGAACGCATTTTGTGATTGATTCTTATCATACGATAATTGACTTGCGTTAAATACTAATTTACTGACTCTATCTGTTGTTTATCTTTTTAAATCTCATGAAAAATCTATTTCATTTTAAAAAGGAAAAAGTGTAAAGTAAGCCAAAAGAAATATATATATATACAAAGTTGTCATCTTAAAAAATTAATGTTTTGTCAGAGATTAATTAAAAAAAAAGCCATGGAAAAAGGTACACGATAGTTCAGTTTATTTATTGACATATTTAATATCTTGTTAATGTGTTCTGTCATGAAAATAAAATCTATTATTAAAGATTCTTTCTCCAAGCCGGAAAAGACAAAATTGACTTCTTTACACTATTGTTTAATTAAAAAAGATTAAAATTCGAAATAATTAGCCAAAAATTTATCTGAAAAATCGGAGAGATGCCAACCGTGAATGTATCATCTCTTTGTTCGAGAGAACCGAGTCTCCTCTATGAGCGTATAACCTTCAAATCATCTCACCAACTGATGCTCATCCCCATCGACAGGTTTCGATCGCAACGATATTTGTCGAAACCGTCGCTCCTGAGATTCAACGAGACCAGGGAGACGTGCGCGTTGTCCATCGCCTGGAGTTGAATCCCCGAGTCGGAACATTCGAAAGTTGCTTCGGTCAGGAGATCCTTCACCGCGTCCAACACCTTCTTCAGGATCGCGCTCTGTACCAAGCGTGCCTCGAACATCGTGTCGTTGTTTTTACGTGCGTTAATAATCCGTCAACGTTCTCGAATACTATGTGTAGAAAAATGCGATTCGTAGTAGAAGGCACGGCGCTAAAAAAATGTCCGAAGCAACAATATATCCTTCGCGGCTTCTCCGGAGAACGGTCCCGCGCTTTTGTTGCCGGTCTTGGACAGGCGGAAATAGATGGCATTCTTGAATTACTTCGGGAATATATCCGGTATTCAAACGCAACATACGAATTATGCGTAAATTATGTACGAGAAGGAACGGATATTTTACGATTATATCTGAAAAGAAGTAGCATTTATTTCTACCAAATAAATTAATGTCAATTTTGGTTTAATTTACTTTTTATCTTTTTTTTTAATTTTATGAATTAGAAAGAAATAAATTAAATTAAGATTAATTTACATTGACAGAAATAATTGTTATAACAAACTTTTGATATAACAAACTTGCAATTATCCGACTGATTTCAATTCGTAGATTCGTAATTATGGATAAAAATTATGCCGATCGCGAGTTTCTTGATTTTCGTTGCGGAAAAAAGAATTATCTAGTAAAATGTCGCATAGACGAAATTGATTTACTACGGACGAATAAATTGATTTACTACAACAAATACATAAAATAATAACTTTATTGTGATACAATAGAGTTTACATAATTATACACTTAAGCATTCATTAAAATTCACCGGAAGAAATAATAATTACAAAATGCTTAAATATGGCTCTAAAATTACTTACGCTACTATGAATTTAATTATATGCAGTCTCATTTGTTTATATTACGCAGCTATTAATATTTACACATTACATATAGAATATATTTCATAAAAAGAATTGGGTCAGAGCGTGATGGCATGTATTGAAATGATATTTCATTCAGTGTTTCAGGAAATCGATATCGCCTGTCATATTCTCCAATTCGATAAACATTTCGTCAAGATGCTGAAATAAGAAAATATATTAAACATTTATGTTTAAAATAAAACATTTTAAATATGTACAAAATAACAGCAACATAAATAATTTTCTTGAATTTATATATAAATTCAAAAAATAAGTTTATTAGATAGATCAAAGATTCTGTCCTTATTGAGGACTTACTTGTCAGTATTCTATTCTCTTGTTGAATATATAAACGCGGCTTATATAGTTTATAAAATAATTAATGTGTGTTTAATTATATGCAAATACTTACATCTGATGGTTCTTCATTAGTTCGTGCTGTTCCCGATGATTTAATCCCAAAAACTATATTTCCATCATCGTCAACTTTCTCATCATCCTCTTCAACTTCTTCCTCACTGTTATCTTCATCATTATCGGTATCATCCGGTTCCTCGACATTATTATCATCGTCGTCGTCGTCGTCGTCGTCTTCATCTTTATCATCATCATCATCATCATCATCATCATCATCATCATCATCATCATCATCATTATCATCGTCGTCGTCGTCGTCGTCGTCATCGTCATCGTCGTCATCATCAACGTCTGATTGCATGTTACTCATGTCCATATCATCATAATCCATAGGTTCCTCTTTGATCTGCGTAAGTATCATTGTTTCTTCAACGGTATCAGCTTGGGTTGGTCGTAATGGTGAAGCATCCGATATTGAAGATATCTGAGAAGATTGTGACGTCTATACAAATAAAAAGTATTACTAATAATTTTTTAGAATAGTTATTAATAAACAGATTATACACACATCAAATGATTTTACAAGGCTTATCTTTAAAAATCAAATACAATGACATATATTTAAATGACATATATTTAAATTTTCTAACAAAAGAAGTGGATTTATATACACAATAATACAATATTATGTAACATAACAATAATTGATTTTACATCTATTACCCAAGGTTGTTCTTCCTGTGCTGTTTTAGATGACATGATTGAAGTTGACAATTCAGAAAAATAAGAGTTTGTATTTTCCTTAACTTGTGAAACTGATTTGCATTGTGCTTTATTGGAATTATCTTGCAATCTTGCTTCTATACTATTTTTATCTTGATTTGTTGATTTATTTGCGTGATCGATTTTATCTTTCTTTAATTCATCAGTGTTATTTTCTTCTTCCTTCAGTTTGTTAACATTAAGCTCCAGTTCAGCGTGATTCATATTCCGTTCTTTTTTTATTTGTGCAGCATTATTTAGCTCCTCTTTAACATTTTTAACGTCAGGTTTAGGTTCATCGGAAAGACAAGTATTACCTCTCTTCCGTCGAAATCTGACATTAATACATCTCTTGTCCCACATTAAACCATATGCTTGTTTGTAATCCGATATTGCGTCATCTACGCTATTATATCTCATAAGAATATTTCTGCAATAAAATAAGAAAAATAATAGAAATAATAAAAACAATATTATAATCAAAAGACCATTAAAATTAAATACAAAACATACAAGATATCTGCAACTCACCGTGTATTCTTCATCTTTCGAGTCTCTTCATCTTGTGCCTTTGGAAATTTACTTTTTATTTCGCTTGTTTTAACAAATTCGGGTAAATTTCCTATAAATAAAGTATAAGGATCTATCTCTTCGGGATTATCTTCATCTCTTAATGACTTTTTCTCGACTTTCAAGCGTCCCACACCAAACTCAATTTTCTCCAATTCTTTTATAGCTTCATCAATATTTACATCTTCTGCCATTTGAATAAAGCAATATCTTGGCCCACACGGATTTTGAAAATGTATGTTTAATATGTCAGGATGAAACTTGCTAACAATATCTTTATTCAGATCTGTATCCGGAAACTTAATTATTAAGCTTTGCGCGTTAACTTTATTCTTCATATTGTATTCATTTTCAATCTTCAGAGCTCTCTCCGCATCTTCTCTACTCCATGGTTTGTTAACATAGTTTTGTGACATTGATTTCCTTTGTTTGTTCTTCTTTACTACCTTCTCCTGTATTAAATTTTATCAGATTATCACATTATCCATTTATAGTAAACATATATGCTACATGAAACACATTTGCTATTGGACTTACAATTTTCACATCCTGATCTTCTGTTTCCTCGCCATACCTGTTGTTTGTGATTCCTGATGGTATGGAAGGTATAGGACGATTAGGCAGAGGAACATGAGAGGTTACATGATTTATTAAAGTGTCATTCGCTGTTGCAGTATAATTATTTCGTCGCCACTCTAATCCGAGATTACCCGCCAATGTTGCACCAAAATATGCAGTTTGATCAAATTGGCCCTGTGACTGTCCATATCGTACTAATCTTCTATTTTTACGGTGAAAATTATTTCTCTGGACGTACATATTGTTCCTATTGTGAAACCTTTCGCGACGTATGTAGTTACCTCTTAGAGGAATTTCTCTCTGGATCGTATTAGTGATATCGTGAGGAGTTGGAGGTGGCAATGGAGACGTTTGTGGTGTTATCCACTGCCATGGGGTATGTGCATGCGTCCATGCCTGAATAGGAGTTACTTGGGAAGGCACTGGTCCAAATACATGTGGCGGAGGTGGGACTCCATTTGGTGGTGGAGGCATAGGGGGTAAGGGTGGCTGTCCAGGTAAAGGTTGAGCGATAGTGGAGGGTGTAGACGATGATGATGAATAATTAGCGTACGAAGATGCATCGTATCCAAAATTGATAGACTCTTGTTTAAAAAAGGCCCGTTTGCTTTCACTGTTTTCTTCGGGTACCTAAATCAAAGAATTATGAATTAAAACGAAGCGTGCGTATTGTGATTCATGAATTTCACAACGTGTACGATCGGGCGCCACTTCGTCAGAACGGTGATCGTTCTGTCGTGCAAACAACGTCGATGCAATCGAGTATGTAAATATTGTTTACCATTGATAAATTTAACCTAAAATATTATTACAAAACGAGGAAAAAAAGTGGAGTACGTATCATTGATCATGCTAAGAATGATGTGAAAAAGATGTAATTTGAACATTACCATACGTTTCATGCTGCTAGATTCGACGAGATTCGTTTTACAGGGTAGCAACATTTCCTGACTTACAACGTAAACACATTGTAGCGCGAGCACGAGTGACAAGCGTAGCCACAAAAAAGCCGCCAGGGATGCCAACTCACACACGCGCGCGCGCGCGCGCCCGTAGTTTTGACGATTTTTGCAAATATAAATTATTGAATACAAAAGGAGAAATGAATTTTTCAATTTATGGATAGACATATAAAAAAAATTCTTACTTGTAGAATATTTACTGTTTTATTTTCATAATATATAACAAGCACTCACATAATCTTGTAATTATAATTGATATCAATTTGGAGTCATAATTATGAACGACCAATCGTGATCTTTCGTATGGCTGATTTTGCATGTGTAAAAAAAAGGGGGTTATTAAATAAATTAACACATATACAGACACAAACAGATTGAGTAGTACGAAAATTACATAAAATAATAACTTTAATAATACAATATAGCTTACATAATTATGCACTTAAACACATAGTGTTCATTAAAATTCACTGGGAGAAATAATAATTACAAAATGCTTAAATATTTTATAGTTCTACACAACTGCTTACATCGATATATTTAAACACTTGCAGTCTTACTTGTTTATATTACG